TTACAGGAGGCACGCCTTGGGGGTATTTGGTTTGGACGCAAAACGCAAGGCCATTTATGAATCCTTCCAGAGCTATTAAAAAAACATCATGTTTCTGAAAATATGCACAGAAGGTTAGGACAATGAAGCTATGGGGCGAATTCCTGGGAGTGAGCCTTCACCAGGGGACCGCCATTCCAGAAGCTTGGTCATGCCTCAGCATGCCACTGAGGGGGATCGTCCTACTCTCAGACTCTAGGGCTTCCGCGACCTTCATATTAAACCAATCAGATATTTAGAGTTCAAAGGTAGAGTATCGCCTATTTTCCTGGCCGACTGTTTCTCCCATAATACTATCGAGATCACGGATGGTACTGCTACACTCAGTGAGATACTTGCAACCATCTAGGGGTACTATACAGGAAGCTCTGGATTTAGATTCAGTGAGCACAGATAGGTCCCATCAGGGAAAAACGAAACCGATGGTTCTGAGTCTGACCCTTAATTCATAAAATCCACAAAACAGCACTGCGGTCTTCTGTTTGTTGCTGTTGATGGCGGACTCATCCAGGCTGCTTCACTCATCTGGCAACTCCACAAACAACAGATGGCATAAAGCGTACCTTCCTTCTGTCTAAAAAGTTCTTTAAAATGGCATAGGACAGCCTGAGGATACTCTGCGATACCCGCGGCTTACATCGACATGCAAAACTGTAGCCGCCCCCGTCATATTGAGGTTGTACCGCACCAAAGCTCACCTCGTCAACCAAACAAAACACACACTCACCTACCGCCCCCAGGAGTGGGTACACACAAAAAATGAATGATGTATACGCTATGAAATTCCTAAACCCCCACTACCAGCATATAGGGCTAGCGCCCTAAGAGCTTTCTCTCCATGCACCGCCCGTTGACTGAAGTTGAAGGTGGTGCTTCTGGGGGTGTGGATTATTACTTTGCATTCACTTTCCCTCCTAGATCATGGTAGTGTCCCTCTCACGTAATCACCCCCAGAAAATCTAGTCAATCTTCCCGGAAGTTCTATCCCCATCAGTCCTTACGTTTGATTTCCCTCACTTCGTTACATCTCTGTGTACCTACGGTGATTTTTCTGTCTTCAGCACCATAAGGGCCTATCTTGGCAGGCTTAGTCAGTCATTGATAGTCAGGCTACTAAATGCACATCCACATCCATCCACCCTATATGCGATAAACGCTCAGTTTTTTCGCTATTTTCGGACTAAATCCTCCCTGATTCTTCCTAAAATTCATCAGGCCTTACTGATCTCATCCCGTTCCCTGTTCTTTTAAAGCTTCGCCCTTCAGCTAAATCTAATTTGGACGCGCTGTTTGGCTGTTATCAACTACATCTGATCTGTGTTTTGCACCCGAATGCATCCCTTTCCGAACCAGAAAACTACCTGCGGTCTTACACTGGATTTGTTTTGCATCCGCGGATCCTCGAGGCTGCCCAAGGTAAAACTCGCCACCCGGAGAATTGCTCATCCAGCCTAATCACCTCAAACATGACGCTCGTCACGGGGTTGTCCAGAAACCGGAGTATTCCAATGCAGTAATTGCATACCCAGTTAGATAGCGTACCCATAACTGTTCGCTTTCTACTTTTGAAGATGCCCTCCTGTGCCCTCACATGCAACTGGGAATAAACTCCTCAACTGGCCCTAGTCGCCCCGCGACGCATCCACTCTAAACTGCTGAAACTTCCTCTCGAACGTTAGCGTCTCGCTGACCTTCATTCTGTGCTTTTCACGAAATCAGTCATTTATTTTGCAGTTCGCATTCCGTCTTACGCGTTAGCACCAAACTCCCTCCCTCAACAAACTTTGCGCCACATCCCACTCCAGCAGCGACACCAATGAGTCTCTACGTTTTCAATATGCACCATGACTATGGGATTCTCGCTACGGTTTATCCCTAATACAGATTTCTCTACTTCATCATTCCCACCCACGTTTTTTGCGACCTTGTATATAAGCACAAAGTCCAGAACGAAAAGTTCTCATCGCTGGATTTAGACTTTTGTTCAAATAACTGACTATATTATGCAATCTAACTACCGTACCAGAGTAATTGTTCTTTTTCCTTGTTTTTCGCGATTTAAAGTTTTTCATAATGCGCCAGTCAGGATGCCTGTTTTGCCCTCCATTGTTCTGTTTCTGCTCGCCACATTCAAATCTTAATGGTCTCATCTTGTTCCAGTTTTGTATGTTGCCTCACAAAAGTAAGATAATCTCCTGCTAATTGGGTTTTCTCCCCCCACTCCGGTTTAGACGTGACCAAGTCTATACCAGATATTGCCGACTGCTTAAGACAGTGCCCTTTTTCGCGCAATTCACAGCGCCCGCAAATCCACCTAGGCATGCTTCATTCTGACCACAAACGTGTGATTATGCCTGAAGGATATGCCAGCCGGGAATAAACGCCATTATCATTAGCACTACCAATACTATCACTGGACGAACTAGCGTGTTTATGGGCAGAAAAGGCAGGCAGTGCAGTAGAGCCCTTTGAAGTTCAGGGGCTAATCATCCGATTGAAACGGCCTTGCGGGCGCATATGATAGGCTCGGTCTGGAAATAGTATGGATTCGGTGAACCGGGACGAAGCCATTAGAATGGATATGGCAGTCGCTGGTACGTCATCGCGACGTCGTACTTGGGTTCGTGGACTGCCCCCTATATGAACGTCTTTGGTGTATCAGTTGAGGTTGTCACGGTAGTTGGAAGGGACAATGGAATCGTGACAAATTAAGGCCAGCATAGATTAAGGGTATTCTTGGTCCATCAGAGGCACGCGGTGGTTCAGTACAGCAGTTCAAACAGGGTGATAGGGCAGCCATGTCTACATCGGGGACACAAAATGAGGAAAAGTGTCAAAATGTCTGCTATAGGTCTGTACGGTATGAATAAAGACGCGGCCCAAAATATCAGGCAGCCAAATGTGATCAAAATTTTTAACTACCACAGTGAGGTGTCACTGACTGAGTTCAAACATGGCAATCGATATTCAGGTGTGGATAATGGGCGTGCAGTCGATGCCAACGGTTGCTGGCAATTTTGATTATAAGGGATGCGCAATGTCTCCAGTGAGCGTAGCTAATGTTGCTCGGAGCGTGAAGGGACAGAGGATCGTGGAAAGTCCTGAGAATTAATAATAATAACATTTTATTCACAACTATTGGTTAGCATACCGTCAGGTATGATCATGGTATTACAGTCAGAATGAGAGCATAACTCATGGAGGTTGTGATTAATGGGAATTTCCTGGAAAAGAGACGGTGACGTAAACAGTGGTCATTAACGAATTATACTTCATCACATCTGAGGTGGCATAGTTGGGGATCCAAAATTACAAGCGCTCTTTTTCTCCTATGGAGAACATCAGGTGACAAGATCCGATTGTTATGATTTAAAGGTGGTGCCCAAAAACAATACGAGTGAGGCATAACAAAAAGCTTCCTGCCGGAAACGTGACAAAAGACAAAAAGACTTTCAAACTCCAGGTAGTGTGGGGCCAGAATAACGGATCTGTAGGGGCGGCGGAACCGCAACGATATGGCCGGTCAATTTGAACTAAAGCACAAAACCGTCATTAGGGCTTCATGACCTTGGGCTGCTGGGCGTATGGCCACGGAAAGCGTAAGTGCGGATGGTGAGGTGGTGTAATATGGAGCATGGACAAATGGTAATAGGAAACTGAGAATCACAGTGTCCAGTGAAACTTGAGCGACTCACTGGTGATGCTGCTAGAGCAGGGTCGAGTGCAATAGTTACTTGGGAGAACGAGTTCACGCAAACTGTATGAAAATTGAGGAGTACGAAAAAGAGTCGCCGAGATCTTCACATCCGACAGAAGGCTCGGCAGATTCCTTGACTGAGAGGTTCAACTGATTGTATTTGCCGGTGAGGGAACGTGTGGGCCAGAGGACGCGGTCAAACTGGGAGGTGAAAATTGCGGGTATGATATCAAACTGTGTATCACAGTGCCGTACCGTCAATGCACTGAGATACTTCGACTTCTAGAGAGCCCTGTGACGGACGTCGTGATGGAGGTGGTAAGGCTAAGATGCGCAGTCCTATAATCAGCGGGATGCTGTGCGATTGCCGGGGGTTCTCAGGGTGAGCAAAACCAATGTAATATCGCGCGTAGTATTTGCTGTTGTTGCTTTTTCAGGTCGGGGCTCCCTTTGTTCGTAATGCACAGATCAGGTGGAGCGGACGACGGCCAAACGGGCCGTCCATAGCGCGTATTATCACGGGTCGAAGCTTGGGAAGAAGAGGGGATGAGATGAGATCAATAAGGTCTGGAAAGTTATAGGAGTCATCAGACAGGATAAAGTTCCTTAATAGAGGAGAAATGAACGTCTACCACATGGCGGTGACATTAGGTAGATAAAAAAACAGGATAAGGATGGATTTGCACTCAGTAGGGTAGTCACCAAAGTCAAGCTAAATTGCCAGTACCCCTAGCAGCACAACTCGGTTATTAGTCAGTTATATGGCGGTTAGAGTCGGTTATTTGACGGTTATTTAACCGTGTAGCTATCATCCAATCAACATGAAGTGTTGTCGCCACACTTATTCCCATAGGTTTTTCTTATCACACAAAGTGTTGACACAAAACAAAAGTGCATTATTCCAACAGGTCTCAAGAAACCCGTTCTGACGCTTTTTTGTTTATCTGCATCAGTGTTTTAGTAAATGGCCGTAGCCACCAAGCCCATTCCCAAGTCGTCGCTGACCCACGCGCCTGATGTCTCCACGTGTTTGTGAATTTCTATCTGGAGGAATGGTAAGTCATGACTGCTCATACATGTATGACAACTGTAGCCCTCCAAACGTGGTTTTCTCATTTCAAGGTGGACTGTTAACCGCAAACTAAAGCGTGCTAGAGAGTTAGCCTTGGAACAAACACCCAATTCGATGAACGCACGAGACTTTCACCGTGCAGATCAGGAGATCGATTCACTAGTGCACAGTAAAAATGCCATTAGATGACTAATGTTCCAATTAGATGAACAACAAAATGAGGCGGATAATAAAGAGGAGAATATGTTCCTAGTTCCGCCTAGTTTGGCGGACATTTTCCGAGACTGGATGATTTTGACTAATATCCCCTTCAGTACCGTGAATCGCCTGCTTGTGTCATTGCAGCATAAGCTTCCTGAACTGCCTCGAGACGCGCGGACACTGATGAGAACACTCGGGTCATGTCCAACTAGAGAAGTCCCCCCAGGAGAATACATCCACTTGGGCATTGCGAACGGGCTTCGCCGGGTTGTGCCGATGTACTTGCCACCCCAACCTCATATTATCCATTTACATATGAATGTAGATGGGATGAAGCTGCACAATAACGGTACAACCGTAATCTGGCCTATACTAGCACGTATTGTGCGGCCCTTCACTACCCGGTATTCCTTGTTGGGCTTTATGGAGGAGTTCGTAAACCCGAGGACGTTTGTACATACCTGCATGACGTAGTGCAGGAACTGGAAGATCTCCTGCGTCTGGGAGTTGTCGTTAATGACCTGCATCATCAGGTCGTGTTGGATGCAATTATTTGTGACAAACCGGCACGCTCCTTCGTCACACGAATGAGAGCACACAATTCCTACTATGGTTGTGATAAGTGCTGCATAAAGGGACAATACTTCCAAACGAAGATAACGTTTCCATATGGGCAGCATGTTCTGCGAACTGACAACAGTATACGTCGGGATACTCGAAACAGTCCGTCTCCATTCTTTACGTTACCCATTGATTTCGTTCACTGCTTTCCCATAGATTATATGCACGCCGTATGTCTCGGTGTTGTCCGTAGATTAGTTTCCATTTTCGTCAACGGTGATCGACCCGTACGCATCGGGCCTGCTGGCTTGAACAGGGTAGATCGCATGATTCGGAATATACGTGCCCATATGCCCGTGGAATTCCCGCGTAAGTGCCGGGAAATTACACTGTACAAACAGTGGAAAGCGACTGAGTTTCGTCAGCTGCTGTTTTACATTGGTCCCATTGTGTTTAAGGACATTCTTCCCCATGAACGTTATCGAAATTTCATAGATCTATTTATATCCGTGTATTTTCTTTCTCATCGTCGCTTTTCTGTTTCCCGCCCTGATTATGCACGACAATTATTGCTAGTATTTGTTAACAAGTTCCAAAAACTGTATGGCTTGCAGGAGATGGTGTACAATGTCCATTGTCTGCTGCATTTACCGGATGACGTCTCGTCTCACGGGCCTCTGGACAATTTTTCAGCATTCCCTTTTGAGTCTTACAAGTTCACACTTGAGCGCCTTGTACAAAGTCCCACGTATCCTGTTAGGCAGATTTATAAACGCCTGCAGGAGTCAGCATCGTGTCTCACAAACACCCCAGATTACCACGCCGATTGCGATGCGGGCTTACCTTTGAAACAAGTATCACTGAACAAAAAGCATTTCTTTAGTCTCGGTAAAGTTTCCTTATCTGCCAGTCCATCGGATAACGTTGTTTTGGTAGATGGTTATCCGTGCATTGTGACAGGGGTGGAGCATCCCAACACGGCCGACTGCATACTTAAGTATGTTTCATTTCTTTCTCCCGTTTTACCACTTTTCCCATTAATTCTCTTTTGCTAAATATTTTTGTGGTGAACAAATTGTCCACAGTTGTAAATAGCTGTCCCCTCTCTTTTGTGCAGTGCAAGTGCGCCATGCTTCCATTCAATGACTTATTTGTAGTTTTCCCATTATCGCACTCTATACCGTAATAATTTTATAAATTGATATGCCCGTATCAGGCTTACAGTCTTGTGAAGTTCCATGAACAAGGCCTATGGCAGTGTGCAGTCCTCAGTTCTTCATGGATTGAGGGTAACTGTGCTGCATGGCCAAAAGTTCACTCGAAGGACTGTTATAAGGCCGTTCGCCTTCATATACAGCCGCCACCTGGATCATTGAAGCTGAATTGCGAAGTCATTCGGACTTATGGTAGGTGTCATGTAGACCGCATTAACTTTTCAGACGATTTCAAAAAGGCCCGCGAACATGAGAGAGATCTCCAGTACACGTCGGACCCGGAGACTTCGGATGTAACCATTGAGATGGGTCGTAACCATCCTCGTCGAAAGTAAGACTACCGTGCGTGCTGTCAAGATTTCTTTTCGGAATACCAGAGAACGAAGCCCCTCCCTCTCCATCAGTCCATCACCGAAAAAACCAAGGTTGATGGTGCCACAATCCCCGTCTTACCCCAGCTTCTCGCAGGCGACACCCCGTGCCTTGTTCCACTCAACTCCAGAGTGCATACCCCAGCATCCCGCACCCGTCCCGTCCACATCCAGCCAGCCCGTATATACGATACCGCAGACGGTGCACCGCCTGCCACAGTACACTTTGAACACCGCAACGGAGATCCCTATGTTTCCAGTTTTATCCCCACCACCTGCCCCTTTATTCCAAACCCCAGGAATCGCAGCACTGCTTCAGCAGAACAAATTGCTGCATCGTAAAATGGACGCAATGGCGGAAGATCATCGATGCCTGAAGATCCGCATTGACAACTCTGTTACAAGCCCACAGTTCTTCTGAAACTACCGGCTTTCCTTTTCCCCTCCGGAGCAAACGTTCGTGGATCAACTGGAAAGTGAGCTTGCAGAGGGACTACGCCAGATTGAACTGGTAATTCAGTGTTGTTGATCTCATTTTTTGGCCACAGATGAAATACTTCTAATCTTTTAGTGCAGCTTCCATGGCGGACCTAGTGCGTCTGTGTCTCCGACAGGCGTTGGCTGACGAATTCGCCGTCAGTGTCGCCTACGCCTGGTCTGTTGACAATCTTCCCTTCCGCCACACAAGACTCTGCTCCCTAATCGAAGGTAGGTGATCAAAGATGGCTTGTTCACTGTCGTTTCAGAAACATTTCTCGGTAACCCAGTTTCCAAAGACTGTTGCCGACAGGAGTTAGATAAAGAAATCCAAAAGTGGTTCGGTAACGCACGTCACCGACGGGCCCAGAGAACGCGCATGGATCAGTTGGCAGTAAGTTTCCACTTTGCACTGGAACAAGTTTATCAGTAGTAACCGATACATCGAATGCTTATGCATATGTTTTGTCAGCTTCAGACGTCCGCATTGAACTGAAAAGCTGGGATCATCGAATTGGACGTGCCTCCGAACTGACTCGGTTTGGTTGTGAAACAGTCATTTTCGTATATCAAATATATTTTTATCCTTGTTTTGCGTTCTCTAAGATCCCGTTACTAGGTTTATTTTCTGCAATGGATACGACGATATGCACGCGTGTGGTTACCAGTGTAGGTCAGTCACGTTGCGTTTGTTAACCGCAAACCGTTTTGCGCGATTACTTAACCGTTGAACTCGATTAATAAGTGGTCAAGAAGCCATCAGATAGTCCCTCTAGGAAGGAATACGCTACGGCACCGTTATTTAGCTTCTCCGTGGCCCTACAATGCGGTTAATGCGTGGCTACGTATACTATGTTAAGCCGTTATGACGACGTAGGATAGGTTCAGTAACAGCGACTAACGGTAGTATGGTGGTGATTTCACTAACGAGGGTCATTTAATCGTCCAATCACCAGTAAACCCGGTTATTTAACCGTTAAACGACAGAAAAACATGGTTTTTTGACGGTTATTTAACCAAGCAATAGCCGGCAAACACGGTTATTTGACGGTTATTTAACCGAGCAATAACCAGCAGACAATTATTTGACGGTTATTTAACCGAGCAATAACCGACAAGTACGGTTATTTGACAGTTATTTAACCGAGTAATAACCGGAAAACACAGTTATTTAACCGAACAATAACCTGAAAACGCGGTTAATTGACGGTTATTTAACCGAGCTATAACTGGAAACCAGTTGTTTGACGGTTATTTAACCGAGCAATAACCGACCAGCACGGTTATTTGACAGTTATTTAACCGAGCAATAACCGGAAAACTCGGTTATTTGACGGTTATCTTTGTGCAAATAACCATCTGTTAACCATAAAAGTCGGTTATTAAACGGTTATATAACCGTCGTATAGCCAGAAAACTCGGTTATTTTGGACTGCGTGTGCTGCTAGGGATGACCATACTGCCTGAAACTGGACAGTTCACTGTATGTAGGCTAAGAGGCGGCATTGTGACTAGCAGGGGTGTAAGTTTTGAGATGGTGGACTAGATTTTCCGGAGGTTATTAGTGAGTTGAACGAGGGAAGGTGTATGTAAGGGAGATGGTCATTAGTCCCCGGAGCACTAATATCACCTTTAATCAATTAGTGGTGCATGACGAAGAAGACTTCCAATCCCAGCCTCGCAGGATGATAGTGGAGAGTCGGGAATCTCACTGTGCGTTTGTGTGTTGTATGTGTCCACTCCTGGGAGCAGCAAGTTGGTGCCTTTTTGCTTGGTTGACGATGTGGGTTTTGGTGCGGTGTAGCCTCGATATTGACGACGGCAACTACAGCTGTGCACATCGACGTAGGCCATGGGTATTGTAGAGTTTCTTCCGGCTATCCCAGGCATACTATTTTTAAAAAAATACTATTGGACAAGCGGAAAGCCAGTTTAGTCATTGTTTTTTATGGCACTGCCAAATAACTCAACCAAGGCGAGATCAACACCAGCAGCAACAATCAGAAGACAACAGTGCTGATTTTTTCCTTTCCCGAATTTAAAGGCCAGGCTCATAACCACCGGCAATGGGCGATACACCCGTGCTACTGGAGGGGTGGTGAGTACACGAACGCACCATGGTGCAACGTAACAGAGGAACCCTCCTTGCAGGGCGCACCCATCCACCCCACGAGGTTTTCCTCCTTTTTGCATGCTACCAGATCTGCAGGATGGAAAACCATCCAAGCAGTCATAAGTGCGGTTTGTACATTAGTTAAGTACTCCAGCTACCAGTTTTTCCCGGTCAGGGGAGCAAGGCCAGTAAAAGCAGTTTAGTCAATTCTAACAAGTAAACAGCAAACAGACGCTGGTAGAGGCAGGCGGCGGAGGAGGCAGTGAAATGAGAGTTGCCAAGGTGGACGAAATGGTGATATTCGGGGCGAGTGCACTATGGCTAAACGGCTACTGAGCGTTAGTGTGAGCCACCATGTCAAGCAGAAGCGTACCGCGATGTTGTGTGTGTTTAGTGAGCTGTGGAGCAAATCATCATACAGATTTGATGTATATACATTGGTGTATAATGTGCCATAGTGGTGAGAAAAAGCTGACTGGTTTCGTTCTTTGTCAGTTACAGTGGAGCCGACAGCACCAGTCGCTAGATGTCTAGTGATTGGTAGAGTGATCCGGGGTAAGGATTTGACCAGAACGATGTATAAGTTGGTTGGGGAAAAAAAGAAAAACAGCAGGGTCGGTAACACAACATACTTAGATCGAGTGAGCGTTTATCTCCCATAGTGGCTGTATCTTTCATTTGCTATACTCAACTGTGTAGTGGACCCAATATAGGGGGTCGGGGGGTAGTTGGGTTTTAAGAAGGATGACAGCAGCTTCTCAGGTAGGGAATTTGTCCAAGGACTGAGAATAAGTATGATGATGCGCGATGTTTCGCAGCTACTCAGGAAGACTGTTCCAGATGCGAGCGCAGTAAGCCAGAAAGAAGTGGTGGCGTATGTTTGTACGAGTTGAGGGGGACATTAAAAGGTTGCAGGAATTACTGAATCCGTAGCGAGGATGTGCGTTTACGCTTGGTCTTGCCTCTGCTATAAAGACATTTTTGTGCGGCGGGCGGTGTGGGAGTTAGATTCATCTTAAACCGTCTGAGCCATAGTGGCTCGAGGCCTAGGCTTTGACAGCGAGCGTGGTACGAGATATGGTTTGACCGAGGGAACAGATTTTTCGTGAATAAGTGTTGGACGCTTTCAAGCGCAAGCCTACTACTTTTGGTATAAAAAGAGGAGAACGGGGACAGATTTCGACGACTGGTCAGTCGCATTGCTTAAAAATTGTAACTCTTGTGTCTAGAAGGTGAAAGGAGCGCAGTATTAAAAATCTGAGCCTGTGTGCTCGGGCAACCTGGTACTGCACCTGGTGGGGAAGTTACACGTACAGAAGTATCTGAGGCTAAGGTCTTTGATACCCGTTGGATAGGTGATAAGGTTTCCATTTATTGTGAAAGCATAAGCCGGGAGGGAGTAACGGCAGGATTTTATGCAGGACTTCGTGGAGGAGAAACTTAGGCCAGATTCGTTTGACCAGCGATTCAGTGTATCTGAATCTTGCTTAATCTGGTGAAACGTAAGGGCTCGTGCAGATGGGGGAAATGTGTGCGAATTTGTATATCGTCCGCGAAGAGGATGACCTTACCATAGGATATGGCTTTGAAGACGCCTCCCTGCTACAAAAACTTAGCACCGCTAGCATCACGGGAACCTTATTTCAGTGGTTCGCCTCCTATTTACTAGACAGGAGGCAAATAACGCAAATCGGGGACATGCAATATCTCCACTATCTATCACTAGCAAAGTCATCCAAGGAAGCGTAGTGGGTCCATCCTTTTCTTATTTTACAGCAATGACATCTTCAGCGCCATATCTCACGGCAAGGCCTTCCTCTTCGCCGACGATATAAAAATCGTGTACACATTACCCATCTCTGCAAAAACTCCTGCATTTCACCAGATTAAGCAATACTTAGACTCACTGACTCGCTGGTCAAACGACTCTGGCCTAAGCTTCTCCTCCACAAAATCCTGTATAACTTCCTGTCGCTGCTTCCTCCCGGCTTATGCTTTCACAATTAATGGAAATCCTATTACTCATTCCACAGAGATCAAAGATCTCGGCCTCAGATACTCCTGTACTTTTAGCCTTTCCAACCAGGTGCAATTTCAGCTTGCAAGAGCGCGCAGGCTCAGTTTTTAATGCTGCGCTTCTTCCACCTTCCAGACCCTGGCTGCAATCTTTAAGCTATGCGTACGACCTATCGTGGAATTCTGTCCCGCGTTCTCTTCTCTCTACACCCAAAGTTGCAGACTCGCAATTGAAAGCGTCCAACGCTCATTTGCGAAAAACTCTTTCCTTGGTCAAACCCCCTCACTAACCACTCCCGCTGTCAAATCCTAGGCCTCGAACCACTATGGCTCAGACGGTTAAAATTGAATCTAGCTCTCTTGCACCGTTTGCTGCATAAGAACGCCTTTATAGTAGAGGCTAGACCAAGTATTAACTCACAACCTCGCTACAGACTCCGCAACTCCTGCAATCGCTTGGTGTGTCCCCCAGCTCGCACAAACCTACGCCACTACTTCTTTCTAGTTTATTACGCTCGCATCTGGAACAGTCTTCCTGAGCAGCTACGAAGCATCACGCATCGCCATATTTTTATCAGTCTGTAGACAAAGTCCTTACCTGTGAAACTGCTGCCGCCTTACCTAATACTCGACTACCCTCTGACCTCCTCTACGAATCAGATCCAATGCGCTTATGAGTTTAGCGACGTTACAGTCAGTGGGCAAGTAAAGAATCTTGTTATCATTTCTTCCCATCCTCTTGACCCGCTTTAAGCTGATAAAGGATTTAAATGCCAACTTGATCGAAATATGTGGCGTTACTGGCCTGGTTGTTT